AGTTGCCAGACGCTGGACAAGCAACTGGGTAACCTCGACTTTCACAGCGTCAGCAAGGAGAAAGTGGAACTAACTAACCAAAGGGATAAAGCCACAGTGCGTAAGGGCGAACTGCTGGGCCAGCTAGGCGAGATTAACAACCAGGTGAAGAAGTTGCAGCGCGAAATCGATGAGCCTAGATTTAAGGAGTCTTTAAAGAACTTCCGGAAGGCCAATTACGAGATAGAGGTCACTCGTCTCTGCATTGAGGACTTGGGCCAATATCGTTTAGCGTTGGAGTGGGCACTGATCCAGTTTCACTCTGAAAAAATGGAGATGATTAACCGTCTGATACGCGAGTACTGGCGTAAGATATATCGCGGAAATGACATTGACTATATTCAGGTGAAAACTGATGAGGTAAGTGCGGATGCTTCGGCGGATCGGCGAAAGACCTACAACTACAGGGTGGTTCAGTCAAAGAACTACTCAGAGATCGAGATGCGGGGACGCTGTAGTGCTGGCCAACGTGTCCTGGCCTCCCTCATTATCCGGTTGGCACTGGCCGAGACCTTCAGCAGTAATTGTGGTGTCCTAGCTTTGGATGAGCCCACCACGAACTTGGATCGCGCCAATATAAATTCACTATGTGAAGCCCTGAATTGCATCGTGGAGGAGCGCCAAAGCCAGTCCAACTTTATGCTCATCATCATTACTCACGACGAGAATTTCGTTTCGTCGCTGGGCAAGATAACCTCCTACCATCGGGTATTCCGCAACGACGAGTGCAAGTCGGTTATACGGAGAGTGGAGGCCGGTCCATCAAAGAAAGCTTTGATAGATCAATAAACAATATAATTTTTGTTATCAATCTATATGTGCTTGTCTAGTCATCTAATTAATTATAGACGGGTACAATTGGCCACAGAGGTGTGGTTTCAAGTGATGATGGGTTTAGTTTTCAGAAATGGCCTATACGTGTGGTCTGGTGTTGCTGGGAATCCTTACTTCTGCGGAAGTTACATGCTACTCCGTACAATTTGGCATGATGCACTTTTTTGCTGTTCCTATTTATGAAATTGAAATATTCAACAATGAATTTGTGGATTTTATAGATGTCAAGTACAAACAAAAGGTATTTTAAATATAGTTGAGTTAATGGAAGATCTCTTAGGTATTTTTGTACAGGGTAGCATGTGCTTTCATATTAACATGATATTAGTCATCGATGAAGGTGAAATGGAATGGACAGGCCAGGCATCCGTTCTATCCGGCGGAATTGGTTACAACTTCACCACCCTAAGATTAACATATATCCCTCCAAAGGTTACCAAAGTCACAGTAGTCATCTACGGGATTCCCAGGTAGGAGCCGCATGGCAGATATTTATCCTAGATCCTAATCAGTCTTAGTCTTGTTTGTTCCTAGAGACACTCCAGTGGTATCCGTCTTCCGGCAGATCGCTGCGAATCAGTGGGGACAGCCACGCTAAGTGCATGCGGTTTCCAAAAACGCTTCTCAGATTTTGATACACTCCCCGGTCGTACTTTACTTTGCTCTCCTTGGTGCGATCGGCGGAAACACCTCCCCTTAAAACAATAGGCACATGGTAGACCAGCAGGATGACTCCATAAGCCAGAGCCAAAATATTTAAGCTGTAGAAGAGCAGGTACAGGTTGCTCCAAAAAGTGCCCGTTACCAGGTATAGCATGGGGCAGGCGAGTTTTATCACCGTCAGCCAGTTGCTGTAGATGTGGCCGTGGATGACCCACATGTATATGGAGTTGTAAACCAGTGCGTAAACGGATCCCACGAAGAGATAGAATATGAAGCCCATGAAGAAGCGATGGTTTCTGAGTCCAATGCAGCACCCGGTGTAGATGCAGTGGTGATCCCGCTTCAGAATGCACACCTTGCAGATCTTGCAGTGCCAGGATCTGGGTGGAGCCAGCTTCTGGCACTCGTCGCACTCCCGCCAGTTCGCCTGATCCGGTGTTGGGTCCAGCTTTTTCACTAGGAATGGAATATGAATTTGATCGGATTTATGATGGAACTCGTTATTCTTGCACTTACCATCTGCACTGGTATCAATCATCATGCAGGCAATCATGTTTCCCTTGATGTTAAACACCAGGAACATGGCCATTAGGAAGGTGAAGGTGTGGAAGAAGCCACCCGGTTCGTGGAAGGCGGGCAGCACCACCACAATCTCGAACATAAACACCACCGGCAGAAAGACCCCAATGATGAGGAAGCACATGATGTCTACCAGCCGGCGGGGCAGTGGGTTGCTCCGGATTCTCATGATCTGTGTGACTAGCGTAAACAAATAGGCACCGATCTCCGAAATGTCGGTAAGAGAACTAACTTGATAACCGGTTGCTGTGACATCACGTGCGGTCAAGCTTTATTTTATCAAGCTTTTGCGGTCAAAAGCTCCCATTTGAAGTTTTTGCGGCGCAAAGTTTGCATTCGGTATGATTGAATTGAGTATATTGAATATATTCATTGAATATATAGTTTTATAAACTCCAAAGGTATCTGAATTGAAGTTACACATGTTATCCAGACGGGCCACAGTTCGTATGCTTGATGGCATGTGCCGTGCATATAGAAATGCCAACGGCAGGCCAGCACTGATAATTTAATCAACTTGAAAGGATTCACTCCTTCGAAAGCCGCCGTAGTCGGGGTAAAACCTTAATTACATGGCTCTTTAATAAGTGCGCTAACACTGATTGCCTGCGATACCAAGTATTTATGCAGGTGTCAAGGGTCATTAAGCAAACAGTTGGCAATGGAACCGTCACTGTCAGCCAGGCCGCAAAGGCACGGATCCTCGTTGTTCCTGTGGAAGAGCTTCGCCAGGAGCCTGCGACAGTTCCTCAACCAGACTAGTTTGCACGGACTGAAGTTTGTGGGCGATTCCGGTCTCAGCAGCTGGGAGAGGTGGGGAAGGAGACACTTTCAAAGGTAATTTTGTGCCAAATTTGTCAACCCGTTTCAGATCATTTTTCCTCGGCTCCTTTGTCACCGCCCTCATCATCACAGTGCACCTTATATCGAACATCTATGTTAAGTGGGATAGCACTCCGGTTATAATCGGCATCAGCCCGCAGGCCACCTCCATTTTGAAGGTGCCCTTTCCGGCAATAACCATTTGCAATATGAACCAGGTGCAGAGGAGTCTGGTGGCCAATTACAGAGAGTAAGTTGGGCTTTCCTCTAACGTAAATCATAAGGTGAATCATTTTGAAATCAAACTATGTTCTAGGGGCTCCAATGAGAGTGCCCTTCTGAAGGTATTATGTGAATCGGGCAGCTGGGAATCCAGTCAAACTGAAGAGGAGTTCTCCGCTTCGAATTTCGCCACGAATAAACTGAAGATATCCGAATTTCTTTCAAACCACTCGCAGTCCTGCGAGCGAATGTTGCTCTTCTGCAGATTCAGTGCCGTGGAGCGGAACTGTTCGCAACTGTTTCAGCAGATCCTGACGGATGAGGGCCTGTGCTGCGTCTTCAATTTTCAGCCGCCGGAATATCTCTACAAGCCATTGTAATTACAAGAGTTCATTAAAAGCACAATAGTTGACATATTGTTTATACAGCTCAAATAACAACCGGAACTTGACGAATGCAGATGGTTTTGAAAGTGTTATGTGGGATCCGGAGTCAGGTTATCCGGCACAATTGCCGCCCAAGTACTATCCAGCCCCAGCTAGTGGTAATTTATCGTTTAAAAGTTAATAAATATAATAGTTTAAGTGTGCACTTTAGGCACTGGTATCACCTTGGGATTTACTGCCGTGCTTAATGGTGAAATGGGCGAATATTACTGCTCTTCGACTAATGGACCTGGTTTCAAAGTAAGCATGCAGCATAACATACAGACTGCCTTTAACACCTACCATTTGCAGGTTTATTTTCACAATCCCATCGAAGTTCCCAAGGTGAAGGAGGCGGGTCTCATCTCAGCCATTGGCTACGAGACCAACTACCGGATCGAGATGGTTCGCGCCGAGGCGGTTCCGGCCATTCGATCGATATCCCGCGATGGCCGGCAGTGCCTGTTCAGGAACGAGAAGGAACTGATCTTCTACCGGATCTACACGCGGCTCAACTGCGAGAACGAGTGCCTGGCCGCCTTCCTCTACGAGACCTGCTCCTGCATTCCGTTCGACCATCCGCTAATCTACAGCAATGCCAGCATCTGCTCCATGGTGGACATGTCCTGTGTGCGGCGGGCCCAGCGGGCGTCCAATCGACCTGGTTGGGCCAAGTGTCGCCAAAAGTGCCTGCCCAGCTGCTTCGATATCAATTACTTGGCCAGTGGCTTCTCCTTTCCGCTGGCCTCCAACGACTTTCAGCTGGCCAACCCGCTGGTGGAGAGCTTCAACAAGTCCTATCTCAGCGAGAATATTGCCGTGATAAACGTTTATTACCGGGAGTCGGTCTACTATGGAAACACCAAGAATGCCTACGTGGGATTGACCGAGTTCTTATGTGAGTAACTACTATTTTCAAGTTATGGCCACAGTCGGATCCAGTTAAAAAAGAGGAATCAACTTAATAGGCTCAATTCGATCAATCAATTTGATTGAGTGATTACTGATTTTCATTCCAGCAAATGTCGGTGGTGTAATGGGCCTGTTCATGGGCTTCAGTGTCATCTCCCTGGCCGAGATCCTATACTTCTTGATCTTAAAACCCCTTGTGGAGCTTTTCGTTTGGAAGAGGTCATCTCATGTGGACTCAGAAAGCAGTCTCAAACATAATGCCTTCGGTATTGAACAAAGCCAATCCGCAGATAACCCAAGTTTCTTTCACTCAAAAGAGCTATATCCCAAAGGCGTTTCCCCAGGAGCCTACGAAAGAGGGAAAAGCATGAAAGGATTTAATTACCAATAAACTCCAGTCCAGAGTTGGAACTAAGTTGCTAAGTAATAATGAATATTAAACATTTCTAAACATTATTATAGAAAATATAATAAAGTTGAACATGATTATTTAACAAAGTCTTAGCGGTTCTTATTAAAAATTAGTTTTAATTACTCTACTGGGAATCTTAAAGGTAGTCTCTACATTTGGAAGTCGTCCCGCATGTCATTGTAGCGGAGTACATGCTCCTTGATCTTGGAGCCATCCACCCAGGTGACAAAGTCCTCCAGGTTTCTGGACACCAGAAAAGCGGGATCCTTTATCATTTCCGGACCCACCCGCACATGACCGTGCTCTATGAGGTCTGTGGCCGCTTTCAGGTGCTCCGACATTCGCACTGCCATTGGAATATGTTCTATTATACGGAATTCAAGTGATAATAAGGGATGGCACTCACGTTTCACCATGATCACGGGTAGGCGGCGTCGGCAAAAATGACTGGCGGATATTTTGGCCGCCGTTTCCAAAGTGAGCTGATCGTTGGAAACTCCCATGGCGTGCAGCTTGTTAAGGAGCATGGTCGTGGCCTCCGCCTTGAAAGGTTCTGAAGCATCCAGCTTGGCTATCCTCTCTGCCAGTTCCCGTATTTCTCTGGACAGCTTGTTGTACCTAAATAAATAAATTTAAAGCGGCTTTGAGTGTGAGCAGTTTAGTTTATCAGTGGTTTATCTTACTTGGTGTAGTCCTCTCTTTTTTGAATGTGAAAGCGCCTAAGGATTTTGTTTTCCTTGCCGCTGTTGTCCACCTTCCAGGTGATGAAGTCCACCTTTTTGAGCAGCTTCTGCTCATGAAATTTGAGTTTCCGAACCATTTTTATTTATTTTATTTTGAAAATAAATTATTTGTTTACGAACTACTCGCACATGGGCCGCGCAGTGTGACCAGAGCACCCACAAGTAAGGCACCACATAAACAAACAGCTGATTAGCATATCAGCTTATTTTATCCATTTTGGCCTTCTGCCGTGACTTTCGTCACTTCATTTCCCGCCTGCTGCTCATCAAATATCAGCCGCCTATCAGCCGCGTCTAACACAGTTTTCGGTACAAAAATTTGGCAATTATCGATACCACACATAGGGAAATTCCGGCAAACATCGATTACTTTTAATTGCTCTAAGTATCGGCGGGTATTTATTATACCCGTTACTTGTAGGGTAAAAGGGTATACTAGATTTGTTGAAAAGTAAGTGTAAAGGCAGAAGGAAGCGTTTAATTTTTGATGTAATTTTTCTGATGTATGCGCCAAAGCTGAAGTTCTATACTCCCTAATTCAACTTATCTTAATCGGATTTTGAAGTGGCATACCTCTAAATGTTTCTGGCGCAATTCTCTAAAAAACTGCATTCAAATTTAGACATTTATTTTTTTTTTATTTTTATTTAATTTTTCTGATGTATGAATTCAAAAAAATTAAAAAATTAACTCAACTATAGCATTCTATCTTGTAGTTCTTTTTAGTTTTACACGAGTGTCTAGATCTTCTGGTTTGCACATAAATATTTAGTAATATACACGTATTCAGATTAAGTTGCTAAACACCTCTTTCGATTCTCTTTCTCTCGAAAAGATTCTATTTTCTTTTTTTTTTAATTTATTCTATTTAATTTTTAAGTAAAGTAAGGGATTGAAATACTTTTACCTAAATTATCAATTATATTTAGAAAAAACTTTAATTTAAGAAATGAATAAATTTAAAAAAGACTTTTATTTAAGAAATGGACACAAGGCCAAGTCGACATCACAAACTTCACTTAAACCACAGGATAGGAGCACTCCTCAGCAATGAAGCAGTAGTTCTGGCCGCGGGGCAGGCGGAAGTAGCCCTGTTCGCCCCAGGTGTCGTCCCACGAGTTCTTGATGATCCAGTAATCCTGTCCGTTCTCCGATCCGTAACCGACGACCAGAATCGAGTGGTTTGGCTCGCCTTTGTTGCATTCGTCGTCGTTATAGATGCCACCGGCATAGTTCTTAAGAGTCTCCAAGCCATTCACCGAACAGGCAACTGGACCCAGGGTGGCCACCACCTTCTTCAGCTGCTCCTCGTCCTTGGGCGGAATAGCAGCGAATCCCTTAAGGCTGGCTCCGGACTTTTTGCCGTCGTACTTGCATGTTTCCTTGTTGTCCTTGTAGGGATAGGCTCCCGCCTGGGACACGCCCTTCTGCACCTCATCGATGAAACAGAATGCGGCCTCCTGGAAGCCACCATCGCAGCCATTCAGGCTGAAATCCTCGAGTGGGCCACAGTCGACCAGATTCTGCTCAGAGAGATTGGGCAGGCTGCCGGTCTTGCGGAAGGTGTGTCCCTCGATGGCTCCAGTGGTGGCAAAAGCCCAACAGGAGCCGCAGGTTCCCTGGAATTTTACGGGCGTGACACCGCCATGCTCGCGCCAATCGAAGGCATCCGGGATGGGCTTCTTAGGCAAAATGACCTCCTTCAAGCTGGCAGCAGCACGAGCTCTGTGTGCAAAAGTAGATACAATGAAATCCCATTCCGGCTGCAAATGGCATGTCAGCACTTACTTAGCCTCCGGACTTCTCTTGAGACCGGTCAATTGACTAAGGAACTCAGGGTGGGTCAGATCGGCGAATGCGTTCACAGACTGCTTGAAGGTGCTCACTCCCTTGGCAAAGGCTGCGTTTCCGGCGTCCACCACGTTCTTGGTAGAGGCGAAGGCACGTTCGTGAAGAGCGCGATCAGCGGCGGATAAATAGGTCTTTCCAGATTGACTCTGCAAATGGGTTTGGGTCTTACTTCTACCGCTTGAAGCACTAGGTGCTGCCTATCTCACCAAAAAGTCACCAAAGTTCTGGACATTCGAGAGCAGAGGCACTTTGGACACGGCACTGGCAAGGCTGCCTGCAGCATTCTGAACGGCGCCCGCCACATTTTGGAATGCTCCAGTCACTCGATTGTTGCCTAGGCCACCTCCGAATCCACCTCCAAATCCGCCTCCAAATCCCTGTCCAGAGACCACAGCCACCAGGAGTGGCAGAACCAACAGAAGCTTCATTCTGATCTGCTAAAAAGATATGTAATCTATCAATTCCGACTGGTTTCCCCATTATTGTAAACGTAGTCCAAGCGAGTACTAATTAAATTTGATTGCATATGAGGCTTATCAGCCGATGCACAGCTGTATTGCAAATACGAGCTTTTCCGATGCGGGTAATCGCAATAATTTCCAATAGACTAACCTTACGCGCTCACACGGTCCACACAAATGTTTTTGGCTCGACCGTCGATCGGGGCTTATATAGCCATTAGACTAGTAGGTTTCAGGCTAGAAACTGGCCAACCTCGCCCCCACCCGACCCATTCAAATCCATAAATCCCAAGTCCAGTGATTCGGAATTATACAGAAATCGAAACGCGTTGATTATACCATGTGTGCCATAACTGTTTTGATGTGTGCGATCCGACGATATTCGCCGAGTGGTTTGGGAACTCGTCTCGGTTCATTAGCGCCCTGCAAGATGGCACGGAATAGAGGAGCATCAGAACTTCATCTCTTTTGGGCCAGACTTGGTGGTGAATCTTATCTGATAAAACGATTACTCATTTGGGTTACTTTCTATTTGGGTGTATTGTCATTTCACCGCACGGATCTCGTTCGTAATTAACACTTTTAGTGTCTGCTCAAGTCACTTTTTGATAACTTATCTTTTCACGAAAAACCGGAACTCGATAAAAAAACCCGCTGTTGAAGTCGAGTAAATTAGTTATTACGTTAATTGCACCGAGCAAATTTGAGGCTTAAAAGCAAAACCCGCTTCAGTTCCGTTTCCAATTAATTAAAACACCGTTGAGTGGAGTATCAGTCTAAAGGATTATTAATTAAGTCAATAAACCTTTCTGGACGATGGACTGGGATCTACTTTTTTGGGTCAACCTCACTGCGATCTTTTATAGCCTCACAATTTGAAATAGTGTCGTGCATAATTCATTTATTTTGTATGGTGTACCACATTTTATTCGAATAGCTGCAATTTGTTCAACATTATTTTTTCGGGATTTAAAACAGTAGCTGTGCCGAAATGGAAAATTATTCAATTTTTCAGAACAGTTTCGAGATGTAATAAATTCGTCGCTTCCGCCGCCACTGGGGGATCCCCAATTAGTTCGAGAAAACAAGTTTTTTATCTGAATTAGGTGACTACGGATTAATTATGTCAGCACGGCAATGAATATTTATAACGTTTCGGATTGTTTATTATTGGCATAGGGCCAGACATAGGGTTTGTTTTTAATTAAATATCATCTTCAGGTTAATTGCAATTAAAGATTAAAATTAGGTATGCCTGTTTGTTTTTACATTTTTAGTACTCATACTGCTAATTCGTCATAAAATTGTATACATGCATAAACTCGTATGGGAAACTAGTATCTTGGATGAGTTAAAGAATAAATTAAAACAGAAATTGGCCTTGATTAATGGCAAAATATCCAACGGTAGCTCCATCTGAACAGGTGCAAAAATTCGATGAGTATCAAACTGGTTATTAAAGATCTTAATTAACATTCTTCAGCTATATTCAAACAATTAAATTGTAATGCTCTCCTAGTTTTATGGCTTCCATTATCGGCGCAGACATAATTCTTTTGTAGTAAATTAGCACTGTTAGTCTAAACATGCTTTAAATATTGTGTTCTGTGTGATTAACGAAGTAAATCAAAAACTCGTTTAAGTCAATGACATATAGCACTCGAACAAACTGGTTACAAGAATACGTAATAATCTTCAAAATATTAAAAAATACGTAAGTTGAGTTTGGTACTTTTCCTAATGTAATCCAAATTTTGGCGCTTTGTGCATTTTGAAGTGTGTATATAGTTCGATCAAGTCGAATAATGACAAATCCAGTTATATACTATTTTAAAATATATTTTTTTCTGAAATTCCTTGACTTTCCCGAGGCTTTGCTAAATAAAATGCCTATCTATATGATATCAACGCAACAGATTCTCTTTATAACAGATACACTTGCTGTGTGTTCCATAATTAATTAATAAATAGGTGTTCCTTGGCATTTATCCACTCTTGTGATGTCTGGCTTGTCGGGGGCGAGATTCCTGGGCTTCGTGAATGGGCGTGGCCTCTGGCAGAAAGATAATGGGTTTTCGCAGATCCACCGGAGGTTGCGCCCAATTTTTCGTCATGGGAAAGCGCTGAGTGTATATGGGAATGAAGCTAATTTAGCAAATGTCTTTGCTAGTCTGAGGAATACTTACGCCACTGGGTCCATTTACAGATCCATGTTCCACCTGGGGAAAGGCGAGTGCAAGGGCCAAGGTGGCCAGGAAAGTTAGAGCCAGGAGTACTCTCATTGTGTGGTTGCAAGGGATAAGGTTTGCAAGGCAAGAGCTTGGATTGCACTGATACCGGATTCCGGCGAGATTCCCTTATATAAGTCTGAACTTTCTCCAGCGCTTCGCTTCCGGAACTTCCGGGTTTCATCGCCAACGGAATCGCTTGTGCACTCGCATTCTGGCTGTTTAAAAATACACCACTTACCGGGCACTTTTGCTTTCTGGAGCCGTCGCCTACCCCACAGATTTGTCCTGATTGGGAGATCAGTTACTTGCTGTTCCCGGTTATTCTTGGTGCGTTGCGGGGGAAGGAGGGGTTAGCGGGTGAGGAAATAATGAGCCAAAGAACCGGAGGGCCAAAGAACCAAGGAACCAAAGAACCTTTTTTATATTCGTTCGTTGGACCCTGCTACACATTTCAAGGTTGTCTTGGCATCTGCTGCTGTTGTTGCTGCTGGCACATACCACATACGTGTGTATGTATGGATGCCCAGTTGTGTGTGCTTCGTTCATTACCAACTTTTAGCAGCAACACACAACAACATCAGTCAACAGAACTTCAAACGAAGTCAGTCGTCTGCGCATGCGCAAAGTCGCAGCTCAAGATGAAGATGGAGATGGAGATGAGGACGACCAAGAACGGAGCAGCAGGTGGGCAGGGAGGCGGACTGGGACTGGGACTGGTAGTGGGATGGGGCTCTTGGACAGGGGCCCCTTTCGGATCTTTGGTTAAAGTCGCATCTCCATCTTCATCCAATTGTTGAACGACACCGACACACATAAAACTTGATGTGATGCGTCTGCGTCTCGGAATCCTCTTTAAATTAAGAAAGATGATTTGCAGATTTGAATGCAGACACGGACTGGACGCGGGCAGCATGATGTAAGCCCACCGGAGGAATTTATTTATTCCTCCTCGGCCGCTGGCTTTCGTGGAGCGAGTGCAATAAAATTCCATGGCACACACCTCAGTTTTTAGAGCCTTAGCAGTTAATTTACGATTATTGGCTTTCATCTTCGTTTCGACCAAGCCAAATAAATCCCACTGACTTGTTTATGATTTGCGCTTTGGCCATGGCCAAGGCGAGCCGTTATGAGTTATTTCTAGTATATGGGGATTAAATTCTATTATTAAACACTTTAACGATCGAGTGCCCACAATAGAACATCACTTTGCGGGTTTTCTTTTTGGAAGATCTTAAGACACGACCATAGGGTCGTATTTTATTTGAAATTTTGAGGATTCTCATGTTTCCTATTTTCGTGAAACACTAATCCCATATTGGGTTTTTATATCGATCAATAATTCACATCATCGTGTTTACTTATTACGTTTATTAATCAAGAGTTTCCTTTTTTGTGGTGGTTGTCATACAATTAAAGCATACAATACATATATATTTATATATAGATTAATGTCTCGCTGGATTTTAGCGCGGTCATCCATGGGCATCGAGGTCCTCAGAGAGAAGCGTCATTTTCGGACATGTCCGGCCGGCTCTCGAAAATGGCCATTCCTCAGTGGAACCCGGATGCCCAGCTGGATAACTCCTCGACCCAAACACACACACAACTTAGGCTAGTGGCATTCAGAGGGATGAAGAGATGCCTAGTTGTTGGCCGCCAGTGGCTTGCCCAGGACACGCATGGCATTCGAGTAGTCCGAGTCGATCTGCGGGATAATCTGCTGTTCGTTGGGCCGCAGGGTGCGTATCAGATCGTTGAGGGAGAGCGAGGATTGGGGGGTCAGCTCCTCCTTGGGCTGCAGCTCCTGGGAGCTGGCCATTTTCTGGAAGTCCTGGGCAATCTGCTTGATGCGCTCCTCGATGGCGGCGGCTGGGGATTCAGTGGAGCTGGGCATCGCCAATGGTTCGTTGGCCTTGATAAGATCCACATGCGGCTCACTTTCCAAGTCGGTCTCGCCATCAGCTCCCTCCTGGTCATGCTCTCCATCCGCCTCGACATCGTGCTGCGAGCTCTCGTTCTCTTCAGTCGCCGCTGGAGCTGGTGCCGAGTCCGCATCCGCATCCTCCTGCTGCAGCTGCTGCTGTACCTCTTCAATGGAATGCACCTCGGGGTGGAGTTCGTTGTCGCTCAGTGGGAATACGTGCTCCTTGATGTCGCCATCGCTGTCGTTGCTCAGCTCACGGGCATGCTCCTCAAAGTTGTCGTGCTCCTCGTGCTCCTCTTCGCCCTCAGCCTCATGGTCGTCGTGCTGCTCGCCATCCAAGTCCTCCTCCTGATCCTCCACATCCACGTCAGTGGAGTCCGTGTCGGGCAGCGAGCGATCGTGGTTCAGCTTGAAGGACATGAAGGATGGCTGCTGCTGGGAGCTGGAATCGTCGATCAGTCGGTGGCCCACGGCTGGCGAGGATTTGGCCTTGGCAGCGGTATACATGGCGCCACTGGTGGACATCAACAGGGGCAAGGGAGTGGTGGTGGCGGCCACATGCAGGTTCATCAGGGCGGCAGGAGTTCTCGGGGTCGTGGAGGTGATGGGACGTCTAAACGGCGCACAATGGACATGGAGAAATAACGAAAGGGCATTTAGTTGCAATCACTGATTCCTGGGCGGTTCGAGGGCTGGGTTAGTGCGAAAGTTGCTTAGCCTAAAGTTAGTTAGTTGAGCACAATTCTTCATGACAACATCAACAACAACAACGACAGCAACGAGAGCGGTACAACAACTAAGGAAGCTAAGCCCCAAACCACCAAACAAGATACATTTTCGGCGCTCATTTGGGATGACTCGCAAAAGTTTGTGCAACCTTGGGTGAGAGTGTTTCGAAAATATGAATTCACAGATCCTAACTTTGAGTCTCGATTAAGTTTTTGAATTAGAGTTTTACATTTCGTAATTAACTAGTAGTATGAATCCTCTTTGGATTGGTATCTAAAATGAGTTTACAAATTAGCTTTTTAACCTCAAGGATTGCACAAACTTTCGTTCTCGCGGCCACCCCATTGGCGTCTACAAGGCAGTGTTCTTTTTGTCGATTTTTCAGATCATACATTTTGCAATCAGAATCAGGATCGAATGGTTTTTTGGCAAGCCAACTTTTCGGCTTGGCCCATAGAACTTGGAGTGGCGTTAGTAAGAAGTCGCATTAGTCTTTAGATGTACGTATGCATATAGATTGTGTGTGTAGTTATGGTAGATTGGTAACGATTTGGGGTTTAGCTCACCTATTTGTTCATTCTTTTGCAAATTCTGTTTTGGGAATCGAAATCGGATTCGCACTCTGTCAGTGTGTGTGTGTGAGTGTAAGAGTGTGTGTGTGTTCGTTTGTGGTCAACTAAAGTAACTTGTTTTTAATCACGTTATCCTTGCGGTATCTCTTGATCTGGGTTGGGTTTTAGTATCAACATTTATCTGGTATAAATATGTTTTCATTTGTTTTTACTTAATTAGGGACATTTGTTTAATCGCCACCGGCGGGCAGCTCGTATAGCGAATTAATTAACGTTAATTATAGCATAATTTGTTTATTGCATTATCAATATTCTTAGTTCCTCCTCCAATCAGTGCTCTTATATCTGTTCGATTTGCGTGTGCTTGTGTAGAGTGGTGGAGTTTTGTGGAGTTATGTGGAGTGGCTCCGCGGTCAAGTGTCCTTACCCCTGCGCCGACGAGACGGGGATGCTGCCATAGTTGTAGTAGTAGCAGCGGGTCTGCTCGCAGATGAAGTCCTTCACGGCCGAGCAGTCCTCGGGCATCCACTTGAGCGTGGGCTGCTTCAGGATCACGCATCCCTTCTCGGCGCCACTGCTGCTGTAGATTGGAGCGGGGAAACAGAGAGGACATCGATATAGATGGGCATAGTTATGAGGCACAGGGCCCAGGACACAGGGAGTTATAACTTGGAGGGGGTACTATCCTATATGATAGCTTGTAGTCCTTACCTGTCGCGAGCGGTGCGCTGGGGCGAGGTGTTGCTATTATGATCGACGGGATCGAGCAGACCGGCCTGGATGGCGTCCGCCGAGTTCTCAAAGAAATCGAAAGTGGCGTTAAACGGCAGACCAGTGCTCATCCATAGGAACATGCCCGTGCCCAGGCGATTGCCGGAGGTCCAGAAATCGTAGTTGCCGTAACCGGCGTTCTTCAGATACGTGGTCATCGACTCGGCCTTCTCCTTCGTCTCAAATGAGGCCAGTTGCAGGCCCAGGGAGCGGCAGTACTGGTAGGCCAGGAAGTAGTTGAGCTCCGGGGAGTAGGGATTCATCCTACTGATGAAGTACTGCACTCCATCCAGGTGGATTGTCGTAATGCGTTGACCTATTGAAAGTAATCCCAGATTATCACTTTTAATTTAGATCTTCAACGGTATTACTAATGTATATCTGTAAAGACCAAAGGTCTAGTCATATGATCACACTATAAGTGGATTAGACCCTGGGTTAATGAACCTAACCAAGTTAGGTTCTGGATTCCAGACGCTATTGGAATCGCAATGCGTAACCGAAACAGCAAAAACGGTAACGGTTTCAACTGCGGACATAGCATTCGTAATCGCAGAAACATCATTAAATAGGATTACCAAAAAAGTGGCTAGCCATCGCTGGGCCCCCAGTCCATAAAAACGATGAAGAAAACTTTGGACCCCCGAATCGGACGCGTGATTCACGAAGATGATGATGATGGAGCTGGTGATGGTGATGACCAGGAGCATTTATGAGGTCCCTGACCTCTGGCGGCTAATTACACGAAATCCGAAATGGGGAATCAAGGTGCTGATGACATTAATTAGCCCGCTGGACAGCCCGAAATGGAGACGAAAACCCAGAGACCCATTCGAGTCTTATGTAATCGCTGACCCGAGAAGTAAAGCAAAGTGAAGAGAAGTCTGCGAGGCTGGGAACAATGCAATATGACAGTGACTTTGGAAATGGGATTGGGATTGGGATTGGGATGGGGTTCAGGTTCAGGTTCAACAGGTAGTCGAGGGACAAAGATATTGGTCGTCTCGTAAAGTATCTGTGTACACATCTCTATATAGCTGCGTGTGTTGGCCCTCTTACAAAGCGGCTCAAAAGATAAACACAAATACCAGTGCGAGTACTTTGTTCTCCAA